ATGATGTTACCAACTTTAATATACTCCTCTAGCGGAACTGGTCGAAATTCTGTCTGATATAAAGCTGCCTTTCAAATGTAAAACCACAATAAGTTTTTGTTTTTCTGATTAAAAGGCCACAATAAATTTACAGAGTTTTAATGGAGATAACAACTACAGAAAAATTATCATCACCCATTTAAGAGATCTGGAGATACACAGGTATTCACTTTACAGAAAACTTAATAATTATAACAATCAAGAACAGTATTTCTGTGCAATTTCATAAATATCATATTCTTATAGTTCCCTTAGACATGCAGGTCTACACATCTATCTATGAATACATATATGTCTAGAGAGAAGTGTCATGAAACTGAGTGATCATAATACACACACACATATATATATATTAGAAAATAATGATTTTTATCTTACTTGAAGCCAGTCAGCAACTGCTCCAACATTCGGCATTGTAGCACTCATACCCACAATTTGTAGGCCATGTGCAGGATCATTCTTTCCACTGCTACTCCCTGAACTCTCACCACTACTTGACTCTGAACTGCCTTCACCCGCAGCATAACGGAGTTTTGTCAGCATAAGTTCCAAAAGATAACCCCTATGTTGGTCCCCCACCTGTATAAACCAGGCAACAGGTTCCTTTTATGCATTTATTATTAAATATGCGTAAGATAAAGTACGAAGAAAATAAAGATAGTGTCAGACAATTATAAGCTTATCCGTGATCTATTTAGAGGAGATATGTGAAAACCATACCATGTGCAGCTCATCTATAACAATTATCCCAAGTTCAGACAAACGACCCTCTTCAAGCAAGCGATTTATCAAAGAGTTTGCCTTCTCAATCGTACAGACAGCTACAGAAGTGTCTTTAGGAAGTTGTCCACCACCCTGATTTCCATAGTAACTACGAACATGCTTACCAAGTGGTTCAAGAAGATTCTCAAGGTGTTCCGCCTGCACCCAATTGTTATACGACTAAATTAAAAGAAAGCAATATTACAAAACTTATGCTGGGAGAGAATAATAAAGGAAACCTTCTCAGCGCAAATGGATACATAAGGTAGCACAAGCAAAGCCATTTTTCCAGTTGTTATGACCCGGCGCAGCATCAGGACTTCTGCAACAAAACTTTTACCAGCACTGCACAAATAGCATGGTTTCAAACTCTTGTCAGATAGACGTCTGCTAAAGAGGTCAATAATTTATGAAAAGAAGTAAACGTTTAATTGACAGTTTCATCCCAAACCATGAAGATACCTTGTAGAAGCACAGTAGACCAAATTCCTTTTCTGTAAAACACCATCTACCTGAAGACACTCGACCTAGAAAATTTACAACAATTTTCTTCAGCTAGTGAAACATCAGAAGCCATAGCATATACACAAACAGGCAATAAAGACAAGATAGGAAATTCTTTCAGATGTGATACCAGCCTAAGAAGCTATAGTTGTGTATCAGAAGAATAGATGTCGAATAAAGTCATTCTTTAGTAAGCGGCAGAATTGTAAAAGAGTATACATACAAAAACTAAGAACAGAGTCAAGAATAATTGCTAATCAGCTTTCCGCAAACCCATGAAACATATAAAACAAAAAGATAACCAACATACATCGCATGGAAAAAAACACACTCCATAAATGATATAATAACTGCCATGAAAGGAAAAATGCTAGAAGATCAGATTAACCTCTCAACTATCTTACATTTCCTAAACTGAAATAGAGAAGCATATACACATCTATCTATCTATAGGAGTTGGGACACTGAAAATATTGATCAGCTGTAAATTAGATAGAGTTGACAAATAACAACACACGCATCTACTAACAATTATGTACCTGCCATGGATAGAGTTTAGATATTCCTTTCTTATTGTATACGCTGCAAACTTCTGAGGGAAGCCAGGTGGTAAGACTTAAACCATCTTTATTATGATGAGAGCTTGAAGGAGTCTGACTTTCTTCGGATTCACTAGAATCAGCTGGTTTCCTCATGTTGCTTAGCGAAGGGATAGATCTTACACTATGGTTGTCCGCATACACTACAACTTTATTTTCTTCAGGTTCTGGATACATCCTGCCTATCAAATTTTTATTAGCCTGACCATTATTTGTAACACCAAGGCTTCCACATCCTCTATTTTCAACCAAAGCAGATTGAGAGATCCTACTGCTTCCTCCAGTAATGTTATCTTGATCAAATGAAGTACACTGCTCTCGGGTACTTCCATTTGCTTTCTTGTCTTGAAACAAAAGGTTCAGGTTTTTGACAGGGAGCGGAGATACTTCTTTATTGAAATCTCTCACATGCATCTCCGCGACCTTGGAATAGCCAACCGCATCTTTATCCTTTACTCTGCTTTCATCTAAATCTAAACTTCTCTTTAAGTTGTCACTGCAGTTATCTTCTTTGTTTCTGTCGTTAGCTTCTACGGAACCAGAGTTCTCAATTGGCACTGACAAACCATCAGCAAATTGAATTGCTTCATTCCAGAAAGAATCTCCAGGAGAGAACATTGAGCTACCACTTCCTGACTTAGGGGTTCCAACATGACATGATTTAACGGCTGATCCAGGTGTGCGGCATTCAGTTAGAAGATCAGATGATTCTGGTGCCTTAGTACACTTCCTCAAGCCCATTGGAATTTCAACAGATTCATTGCTTAGAATCTGTGAATATATCAGAGCAGAGGCATCAAATAATCTAAAATGTACCAGTTTAGCAGGAAGACAAGTAACCATAACTGTTAGTTCCATTTATACCTTCTTCGTAGGGCCTGAAACAGATTTATCTCTTTTATCAACAACACTAGCAATTGAATCAGGCTTAATACCGAGAGGATATGCAGGTACTGATGGTATATTTTCGGAATCACAACGCCTCTTGTGAGAAATTTGCATGTCTTGAGCAAGTAACGATGAACTGCCGCAACGCTTCAATTCGTTTGCCTTCTGACGTGGAGGTGAACCAACAACAGACCGCACTTCACTGCAAAAAGCACAATTTACAAATTCTTCTAAATCTCAAAACAATTTATACGGACTAATAGAAAGAGTAAAATATTGACAAAATGAAGGCATATTACCTACAATACAAGGACAAGAAACCATTAGCAAAGTCTCTTAGTTCTGAATTATCTTTCTGGTTGGCACAAAGCAAAACATCTGGTGCATGATTATCGGCTGTAGCAGGTAAGACTTGAGATCCGCCCTGGTTCAAACACCCTTCAGTTCCTTTAGAACTTTCACCACTTAGAGGTTTTGGCAGGCGTGGATGCATACTTTCACCGGCATACGAGCCAGAAACCTCCAGATCCAATTTTTTTGTAAACGCTTCTTGCCTTGCCTGCAACACGCTATTGGAAGTGCTCTTGTCATCCAGGGATGGTTTCAAGTAACTGTCCAAAGTGCCTTTGTCTCCAGGAGACCTTTCACCAGTCACCTTCACATTTTTCTCGTTTCTCCCAGACTTCACATTTGGTGAAAGGTGTTTCCTCTTCTTCGAAACATAGAACTAAAAGTAGTACAGTGAGAATAAAAAATCAGTCAGTCGAAGAAACACACACACACATTAGCTTCAATATCACTAACTTCACTGTTCAAACTTTGACGGAAGCAAAAAAAAAAAAGTCCAAAAATCTATTCTTTTTAACCTAATTCATGGAATTCCATAACTAACTTCACTGTTCATAGTCAAAAAATCAAATTTGAGATTCAGCCATAATGTGATGAATCCGATGTAATCGAATACTCTATAAAGTTCATTCCTTTAAACTGACACGAGTTTCTCGAGGTGAAGAGAAACTCTTAAGATGTTGCAACAAGCGCGAATTTACACTCTTAAGTGTCGAGAAAGCGTCTACAGTTCGTGGAGAGGAATCAATCAAAAGAGAATAAGAGAAACGGACCTGATCAATCCGCGACTTAGAGGAATCTGAGTCCATGGGGGTGATGAAGCAGAGGAATAACCGCCGGAGATCTGAGAGAATTAAAACCCTAACCGACGATTTGAGCGCCGAAGGAGTGAGAAGAGCCCCCAGAAGCAGGCCGATTTAGAAATAGAAGCTGCAGCGTTTTGAATTTTGATTTCCTCCCTTCTATAGTTTTATGCACAGAGCTCTCTGTTTCGGTGTTATTAAAAATCCAAACTTTTTTTTTTTGTTTTCGCTCCTATTTTCAGTTTGAACCATCAAGTTTTTGCCTTTTTGGTAGTATATCTATTATATTAAAAGAGAAGTCATGACTCAATTCATGTGTGATATTTTAGTTTGGATCATCTTTAGAGTTTTATAAAATTTTACATAACATTATAATATCTTTTCATATCTTTAATTTTTGTTTGAAATACAAATAAATAATTTTAAGAAAATTCAAACAAAATCTTTTAAAAATCTTTTAGAATCTTTTTCAAGATATAGTTTCAAAAATTATTTAATTAAAATTTTAATTATCATAAAATATAATTAAAATGTTAATTCATTTTTATTTTATAAACAAAAAATTAAAAATATGTAAAATACTTTTAACAATATCCCAAAATTTTGTTTATGTATTATGTAGGTCCAACTTAATTAATTTTTACATAGATTTCAAATTTAAAAATAAAACAAAATATATAAATTAGTAATCTTAATAATAATATTTTAAAAAATTATTACAAAAATAAAAATTTATAAATTTTATATCAATAATATTATAAGTCACATAAAAATGATTATGAAATTGGATAGCATAAAGAATCAAATTATACTTATTTATTGATAAATTTTATTATATAATTTCAAATATTTTCGTATTAAAATACCCGCACGGTTGTGCGGGTCGAAATCTAGTTTAATATTTATACACAAACATCGCTTTAAAAATACAAACTTTAGGGAGAAAAAAACTACGTTTTGTACTAGTGGAATACTGTTGTTTCTCAATCTTCAACATAGAGAAAGTGTGTATAGTATTGTATGTCACATTCCAAAATCTTGAAGTTCATATCTTGTTAAATACTCAAATGATATTAATGGACTTTTTGGTTTCTTAAAATGTGCACATGAGATTCCTTTTCCATCCATATGGCAGGATTATACATGTGACATGGAAGAAGTAAGAAATTGTAATACAGCTTATTAGAATCTTTCAAATGTATCAGACAATCTAAAGAAGCGTGAGTGTGCAATGAGAGTAAAGACCAGTCATATTTCTCTCGCATAGCTTTTCGAAGAAAGACTAATTCTCCTTGAATCTGTGTACTTTCAATGGAAGGTAAAAAATACAACGAGAATCTGTTGTTGATTACTCTTCTGCGGGTTTACTGGCACCGTGTTTACACGCAACTTGGTTGTTCTGATTCTGGTTCTTCAACTCGTTTCCAGCCACAAGGAAGAAAGCGGTGTGCCTGAAACAGATTAATAGCAGCAACACTGAATACATTTCGAGGGTGTATCAAACTCTCATATATTTAATTTACTGTGTCTAATATGTTTTCTTAATTACAGACTTATCACTCTGAGAAAAAAAGATGGTGTTATTACCTAAAGAAGTTCATCATTTTGACTTTAGAGTCCTGGTCAATGTCAACCGACTCGTCCATAGCATTTTGCATATGCTGCAGCCATCTCTCGGCAGCTTCGTGAGTCACTGGAAATGGACGGTGACGACCAATCAGAGCAGGATGACCTACACACAAAGATCAATAACAACAAAATAAGCAAAAGAGACCAAGTCATATTCATTCAAACCCAACTCAGATCAGTGCATATATATTCTAATGTCAATGGTTATACAATGATACATATACAAGTGAGGTGCATATCTTCTGTACTAAGTGAGGATCACAAAGATGACTAAATGTCTCACCAAAGTGAAAGAAACTGAGCTCAGAATATCAGTCAAGCTTATAAAACACTAGAACCAATCAAGTCGAACAAACTTAAACCACATCATTACATAAGAGAAAGAATAAATCCAAAATGAGAAAAAAAGACTTAACCTTTCCTTTGAGAATACAGAGGAGGGCCTCCCATACGCTGAACAAAGAACTCATACTGGTTCTGGATGGCATCTTCTTTCTTAGAGTTAGCAAACATGGATCGAAACCATTCCTCTTCGTCATCATATACCCTTTACAATAAACAACAACACATGTCCATTAGTGGAAGCATTACCCCAAAAAAAAAAATCTCTAGAGAAGAAAAGCAAAAGACTTTTCAAAACAGAACACAAAACAGACATGGATCGAAACCATTCTTCTTCGTCATCATTTACTCTATTCAACAAACAACAACCCACTTCAAAAACACAGGTCCATAAGTGGAAGCATTACCCAAAAAAAAGAGAATAAAGTAAAAGACTTTGTCAAAACAGAACACAAAAAAAAAGACACTGTTTTTTAGTTCTTTTGTAATAAGAATTCACTGTTCCAGTTGTAATCCAGAGAAAGAGATTTAGGAACCTGGTGTAGAAGTTAGTGGAGAGGTTGATGAAGCTCTGAAGACCGAGCTTTTCGAAGAGATTGGATTCGTCTATGGCGAATGCGTCAGCCTGATCCACGCCGCTCCATGCCGATGCCTTCTCCTGCAGCGACTGCATCTCTCTCTCTCTCTCTCTCTCTCTCTCTAGAGGTGAATGAAAAACGGTGGGCGACTGAATATTTAAAAAAAGGAAGGATGGGTCTTTGTTTCTCGTTAGTGGTGGTCGCGTGGAGGTAACGCTCTCTTGTTTACTTGTAGGTTCGTCTCCAGAGAGAAAGAGAGAGTTCTCTTGTTGTTTATTGGGTGCAATGTACAGAATAAATTCTTTTGGTGTCACTATGTCAACATTTCATTCTCCTGCTCAGCTTTCGAATACATAAAATTGGGCACAATTGGGCCTACTTAAATTAGCCCATTTAAGCCCATTACATCCAACGCGACAAACTCTTTTATCGACGTTTGGCGTTTGAATCCGCGTTTTAAAAAGGATCAGTCCGACATATCGACAGAACAGGTTTCTTGTCCACGCTCCGACCGAAGACAAAGACGAAAAATCCAGCTTGCAATGGCGTCGAACAGTAGAGAAGCAAGGAGGAAGAAAATTTTAGAAAGAGGATCCGATCGTTTGGCCTTTATCACTGGTCAGATCAATAACGTTCCTCCGTCTCCGCCTTCTTCTTCCGGTCCCACTTCTCTTTCTCAGTCTCATCTCCGCACTGACGAATCCTCGTCGGACACGATTCCTCCTCGTGATAAGATACACACTGATGATCGAGAAGCAGGTTCTCTTTCGTTCTCTCAATGTGTGTGTTAAGTTCCATTCTAGTTATTGTTTTGCGTATCTGCAATCGCATCTTGCTTTTCGAATATGTTAGTTCGATGAGACGCTAAGCTATGCGATTTAGTTTGAGATTCGTGCTGAAAGGTTGTCAATTTCGGGTACTGCACGGTGTAGAGAATCATAAGGAGTAATCACATTGGCTTCTTTGGTCATATGTTATGTGTCTGGGCCAGTTATAGATTGGAATTCATGTATACAAAGTATGTTGTAACCCGAAAAAGGAGTCACGTAGTTATCTAATGTGTATATCTTGTAGTATATTGTGTCATATGGTTGAAGAATGAGTAGTGATTAGTGAAGCTGCTAAATCCTGATTCTTTTTTTTTTTTTTTTTTTTTTTTTTTAATTGAAATTTTNACGTAGTTATCTAATGTGTATATCTTGTAGTATATTGTGTCATATGGTTGAAGAATGAGTAGTGATTAGTGAAGCTGCTAAATCCTGATTCTTTTTTTTTTTTTTTTTTTTTTTTTTGAATTGAAATGTTAAATTAAAATTCAAAAAAAACAACCTTACATCAATTGTTTCTATAAGCAAAAATTTGTAAAGCAAAAATTACATCAAAGCTTGATCAGCACATAAAACTCCGGTTTAGGGGACTCCTTGCCGACCTTCTCAAGCATCTTTACAAACCTTCTCAACCTCCAACCCAAACTCAAACCTTATGCCTAGCCCTCACTTCTACTAGGCACCCAGCTCTCACTCCTACTGGCTCTCCACAACCTCCTCAACATCAAACCAAAACTCAACACAATAATGCTTAGCTCTCACTCCTACTAGACATCCAGCTAAATCCAGATTCTTAGGGAGAAGCTACTTGGCTTAAGCTGACATTAGATCTTAATGAAAGTTGTATCCGTTCTGAACCTGTTTTTTTATGTTCTCTACTTGTGCTTAAGTCACTTCTCCACTTGAAGGTTTTTTAGCCACTTTGAAATATTTTATTGGTTGTGGTTCAGTGACGGCGAATGTGTGCCTACAGAATCTACACTGTTGTAAAGTTTCTGTGCTTCAGTTTTTTTTTTCTTCTGAAAATCTCAATTTTTGTTTCCCAGTTGGATCAAACATCTAAGTAAAAGTTTGAACTTATACGATTTTGGTGAGATGTTGAACTGATGTTAGTCTTACTTATTGAAACTTGATTGTCAACTGTAACGAGGCTTATCTCTGCAATAAGAGGTTTTACAAGGTTCTTTTCTGGAACAGCAGACGTGATAGAAAAGATTTAAAAATACATTTGTCCAACTTTTTAAGAGCAGTGGAGGAAACACACTGGTTGACGTTGTGAATGATCTTCTTTGTGTTTCTTTACACTACCTTACTAAGAGCTTACAAATTTACTTGATGTTCCACATATTTACAAATGTGTTTTTTTGCTTGCTTAAATTGTTATATTCTGAACAAGAATCCTGATCATTGTAACTGATTTCATAGAGAACCATGTGTTAGCATCATTTATATGTTGTGATTCCAGTCTCTTGTAAGCATATTTAGGAAGTAGGGAGTAGTGTATTGGTTTTTGATGATTCTAGTTGTGGTATTGCAGCTTTCACAAGTCATCAGGAAAACATCTCCGCTGCTTCGATGGTTGATAATGTGGATCATACCATTCATCAAAGGACAGCAGAATCGCTTCAGCCTCGGAAGTATCCTGGGACATCGGCAGAAGCCTCAGCTTCAGAACCTAGAGAGACAACACTACAACAGTTTCCTGCAACATCAAGCACTCAAACCCCACCAGTGGTAGATTTGGGTACTTCTCAAGCATTTACTCCTCTAGTCAGTTCGATAAACACCATCACTCCAAAGCAAATTGGAGCCGCCATTGATGCTTCAGAATACGCACGGATGTTCTCATCACTCGTGATTGCACTTCTGGTCATACTATCTCATCTCGGGTTCTCTTCCCTAGGAAGCATAATAAGCTTCAGACCCGTTTTCTTGCTTCTCTTGACCGACGCCACAATCGTGCTTGGACGTGTTCTGCTGAGCCATCATGGATCTCCTTCCTCAGCGTCAAGACGAGAAAACTCGGGACAAGGCATAGTGGACCAAGTGGGCAACGCGCTGGAGACAGTCATGATGGTAAAGAAGATAATGAACGCCATCTCTATGGATTTTAGCTTATACGCTGTGATTCTCATATGTTGCCTTTTGTTCACACAAAGCATCTTTGCTTAAGTCATGGTTTCTCTGTTCTCCCCCAAGTAGGTTTGTGATCTGTATACACTTCTGACACATCCTCTATATACTAAAGCACAAGTCGGTTGGCCAATTAGATACCGACATGTGGAATTTTTTTTAAATAATTAAAATATATGTAAAATGAAAAGAAACAAAAAAAATTCTAACTATTATTTTCAGTTTTTGAAAATTGTTTTAGACGCTAAAAGAAAAAAAAACACTTATCAATAAGAAATAAACTGTTCGGTGGTTACATTCCCACTACTCACGATCATTTGCCATTTCAATCTTTTATGTATTATTTTTTTTTTTTTGGTAATCATATATCTTTCACAATATGTGAGAAATACCCACTAAAGAACCACTTCATGAACTGCAAAGGAAAACGTGAGTCTAGAGTGGTGGATCAAGAAGCCAGAGAACTAAGATCAAAAGGTTTTAAAACATTCATTCTCTCCTGAAAGACAAAGAGTGAGTTAATTTTTTTTTTTTTTGTATTGGGTTGTTTTGAACTTTACAACAACTTCGAATGATTCTAAAGTTTTGTGAAAATTATTTTTGCATGGTTGGCGTCAAATGGGGAGACGACTCAGACGAGTGAAACTTGAGAATGGATAATTGGTTTCATATCTGATTTTTCAGCTTTTTATTCAGTTCACTTTGCAGAATTTTTTGTCCAGTTAAAAATTCATATTACACATAACTTTCGGTGAAGATCAAACCATCAGAACATCGGAAACAAATCACCAGCAAAATTGAAAAGAAGGAGGAATAACATCTAGACACGATGACGATGATGGTGTCACCTCGGTAAGTTGTAGATTTTTTAAGTTGTCCCTATATTTTCTAATCCATAACAATTCATTATTATCTTTTGATTTAATTTGTGATCTTTACAATAAATATTTGAAATACTATTTAAATATAATTTATGAAACCAGAAACATTGGTTAAATTTCATTTCAGCATTGATATTTGTTTAAAATTTTCACAAGATAAACAAGAACAAATCAAGTAAAACAATGAAAACCAAAAAAAAAGAAGATTTTTTTAGTATGCGAGTGTTTTATTTCTTGGGCAATTTAGCTTAAAAACCAAGGAAGAATGCGTAATTAGCTAAATACCAAAGAGGTATAAAGGACAGCTTACGTGGTGAATGAGGCGAGTGTGAAATGACAAATAGACCCTGCCCGCAACACATCTTCGCTACCCGAGTTGACCTTCTTCTCTCCACTTCTGACAGAAAATCATCAGAAAGATTTGGCAAGATAANTTGGGCAATTTAGCTTAAAAACCAAGGAAGAATGCGTAATTAGCTAAATACCAAAGAGGTATAAAGGACAGCTTACGTGGTGAATGAGGCGAGTGTGAAATGACAAATAGACCCTGCCCGCAACACATCTTCGCTACCCGAGTTGACCTTCTTCTCTCCACTTCTGACAGAAAATCATCAGAAAGATTTGGCAAGATAATAACAAGATTTTGTGTACATTAGCTTAAGGTGCATCGGTAAGATCGAAATTTTATCCCCCCACAACATATCTCTGACGCAAACGGCGCCACTGTTAACAAAATCTAGCAGAAGATTTCTTAAAAATATTTTTTATTTTAAGAATAATGAGAAACCCTCACCGCTAAGCCAGAGGCTCTATGTCTTTATAAATTAGAGTTAGACGGTTTGAGCTCTCTCCATAAATAAAGGTGAGTACTGCGAGAAGCTACTTCGGAGACGGAAAAAGTTTGAGAATCAAAGTGAAAAGGTAAAGAACATTCTTTTGTTGCTTTAAATGTAGCGAAAAGTGTAAAGTTATGTTAAATCGAAACTGTTAAGTTAGAAGTTTATTAATGTTCGGTAGCATTAACTACATGTTTCCAATCATTGGTTCTTCACCTTTTCACTTTGTTGCTCCCACTGATAGCAACTTAAGTATGTTGAACTGATAGCAAGTTAACTATGTTGAACAGGAATGGGTCGTGTTTTCAGAATCTGGCTTGGAGAGTGGAAAAAGAACGTTCAAGAACAGTGGTACTTTGTCCCAAAGCATGATGATTTCGGGTTTACGATGTACATGGATTCCCCTGAGTCTTTTCCGGTGATTGATGCAACCGTCCGGGAATGGTACTTGCTCCCTCCCGACACTCCGGTTCTCTTAACGTACGGGATGCCTAACTGGATGCTGTTGCCAAGTGGACCTGCCACTCCGAGAAGGATAGCTACGACTGAGGACTTGGTAAGTTTGTTGAGGGAGAGGCCACCACTAAGTGACATCACTCTACTCTGTACTTTCGGAGCCAAAAGGGTGGCCGAGTTCCATTTTCTCTGTCGCTCTGATTTCACCATAGGAGCGTCAACCTATGTAGTGGGGGAAGGTCAAGATGAGGCAACAAGAGCTAGATATGAAAGTAAGTACTTTTAACTATTTTTAAAAAGGCGAAGACATGATAGTATTGTGTACTTTTTTCATGACCACATAACTCATTATAATTTATTACAGGGTTGGTGCTTGGAGAGAGACTCGTTGTGAGCGAAGGTGTTATGAAAGAGGTGTTTGGGGAGGAGGAGATGGCAATACTCCACCGTGTTGCGCTTGAGATTGCTTACGCTGATAGGATTCTGGGTCGTGGAAGCAATGATGGTGTGGTACGAAGAATGGAGATTATCCAGCTTGACGACGATGCGGAGATGGCTGATGTCAGTCAGGCCGTTGCGTCTTCTGAAGGTACTGTGGCCGAGAACAGAGGTATGTAACGTCCAAGTTACAAAAGTATATTGCCCACGGACTTAGTATTTTTTGCTCACTAATACTTGTGGGGGTTGTCCTGGATAGGGACTATTGTTACAGTCGAGTCCCAACAACTCACTCCAAATCCTGCTACAGAAGCACCTTCTGTTCTTTGGGATGTTGGGCTTGACTTGTTCGACTATCCAGAGATGTATAACTCCGAAATGGGTCGTCGTAAGCTCGCTGAGGACGCTGCTTTTTGGGAGGCTGTCATTCAAGCAAATCTCGAGGATGATGAGGAGGTAATGTACATAGCCAGCCATAATGAAATCCGTGTGGGTTTGGCATCAGAGGGGACAAGGAAGGAAGGAAATGGGGAGGGGTCCTCATCATCTGCAAATGTCATATGCAGCCCTCTGGTAGGACCAGATGTGACCACCACCGAGAAGGAGGTTGGCAGCAATGATAATGGAGGTGAGGGTAGTTGTATAGCTATCTACATATTGGTAAAACATGTTGGTATTGGTGAAATAATTTGAGCTTTGTTTTTTCAGTCACGGAAGTTATTGAACTTGATGCGGATGAGGGAGGCAACATTACCATGCCAGCTGTCACAGTAACCGTGGCCGGAGCCTCAGCATCAACTGATGGTCAAAAAGAGGCAGGGCATAAGGCAGGCAATACATCCTCAGAGGGCAGCGACAACGACGGTGGGTCTTGAATGGAAGTGGTTAAGTGTGTTTACAAATGTTAAATATAGATCTAAGTATTTTATCTTTTGGCGTATTAAGGGTAAGGTGCGGTTAATGGTCGGTTACAAAAAAGTTTAACCTCAGGTGGGTTGTTTTTGAGAGGGTTAAACTTTTACGTAACCGAGACAAAGTCTACCTATTTTCGTGTGCTTTTTTTGGAATTTGTCTCGGGGAAGTTTGTGGTATTAAAGGGCATTATGAAGGGGTTCTATGTTTATCTGATGTATGAAAAATGATGTACTGCTTTGAAGGTTGTATAAAAAAATATAATCCATATGTTGCATGTTTATAGTAGGTGAAACTGGTAATGATTACGGTTTGGTAACACTTATGTAATGTGAATGTTCAAAATGCCGTTGTCTACTGTTATATGGCCAATGAAAAAAGTGGGTAATAGCTATGCATAGCCGGCTACATGAGTTTTAATGTATTATGCTGAATAAGATATGCGTAGAAGGCAATTATTTACGTAACCGGCCTAACGAAATGAGTAGATTAATATTTTTACTTTCAACAAGGTCTGAGGTTACACACCAAGTTAACCAAGTAACCTATATTATTAGCTTTCGTACCACATTGGAAGGTTGGTGTGAATACTTTAGGGAAATTTGCCTATTACTTAGTATGAAAGTTGGTAAAGGACTATATATTATAGGGTTGCATATGGGAGACAACAATTTCGTTTTCACGGTTATAGTTTGTGAATTGGTAGGTTAAAAATATTTTTTACCTGGTTATAATATCATGCCTATTGTGTAACAAAGCAAACTTAAGCTATTATGAAATCTGGCCTTCACCTGCTTACCATGGTGTATAAATGATTATTAAGATTAGTTTATTAATTTTTGTACCAGGGGATGAAAATGATGCGTTTGGAGAAGACATAAAAGTTGGAATGTTGTTCAGGAACCGTGATGCATTCAAGCATCATGTTGCAATGTTTGCAATTGCACAGAAGTTCTGCTTCAGATGCACAAAGTCGGATCCTGGGATGATGGTATTGCAATGCATTGGGGCTTCTTGCCCATGGCGAGTGTACGCAATTAAGATGAAAGATTCTGAAGTGTTTGAGGTTAGGAGAGTTGTCACCGTCCATAACTGTTCTATTGAAGAACGTGGTGGGTACCAGCACCAAGCAACTGCTGCTGTTATCGGGGAGTTGATGAAAACAAAATTTGCTGGCAATGGAATGGGACCTAAACCAACGGAGATCAGATTGATGATGAGGGGTGACCACGATGTCTCTATCTCATACTGGAAGGCATGGAAGTCAAGGGATAAGGCAGTGGATAATGGGCAGGGAACGTGCAATGCCTCGTACATCCAGTTGCCTGCATATCTTAACAACATTGTCTTAGCAAATCCAGGTTCTTTGGCTAACTTGCACACAGAGCCGACAGAGCTAGGAGGGAACAGATTCAAATACATGTTTCTGGCTCTTGGTGCTTGTATTGAAGGGTATAAAGCTATGAGAAAAGTTGTTATCATTGACGGGACCCATTTGAAGGGGAAATATGCTGGTTGTTTGCTAACAGCATCAGCACAGGATGGTAACTATCAAATATTCCCTTTAGCCTTCGCCATTGTTGATAGCGAGAACGACAACTCATGGGAGTGGTTTTTTCAAAACCTTTCTCAATTTGTGTTGAACGAAGCAGGATTGGTATTCGTCTCTGACAGGCACCCCTCTATATACAAAGGCATATCGAAGGTATTCTGTTTAGTGGCCAACTTAATCCATAACCGTATATACTTTCATATATGAGGCTAACTAAAGTAATACCTG